TCGCGAGCCACATGCGGCTCTTTACACTCTTTAATGCTGCTCTTCTGTGTGCCGGGCACCCGCTCCCCTCCCTCCTCTCGGGCAGCCGCCCCAAAAGTCAGGACTCTGCAGCTAGCCCAGCAATGGGCAAACTACGGCCCGGCGGACCTTTTAATCCGGGCCCGCGGAGCATGGCAAACATTGGCTGTCAGGATGTAGGCGGGGCAGCGTGACAAACTCCTCTCACAGTCCGCCCTGAAGACCGGAACGGCGCGGGAACACGGCGAGAGGAACGCGCGGAGCAAAGGTAAGTGAATTGACACAATATGGGGGATGAATTACTATAGGGGGGATGAATTACTATATGGGGGATGAATTACTATATGGGGGATGTATTTTCAGTTTTAAAAATGTGGCTCTCAAAATAAATTTCAGTTGTGGTTTTGGCGAGATTTGGCTCAGTTGAAAAAAAAAGGTTGCCCACCACTGGCCTAGGCCATCTTGATGTAGAGCAACAATAATTTTTTTCAAATCCTCAGAGTTCTTTGCCATGAGGTGCCATGTTAAAGTTCCAGTGACCAGTATGAGAGTGTGAGAGCGATAACACCAAATTGAACACACCTGCTCCCCATTCACACCTGAGACCTTATAACACTAACGAGTCACATGACTCCGGGGAGGGAAAATGGCTAATTGGGTCTAATTTGGACATTTACACTTAGGGGTGTACTCACTTTTGTTGCCAGCGGTTTAGACATCAATGGCTGTGTGTTGAGCTTTTTTGAGGGGACAGCAAATTTACACTGTTATACAAGCTGTACACTCACAACTTTACATTGTAGCAAAGTGTCATTTCTTCAGTGTTGTCACATGAAAAGATAGAATAAAATATTTACAAAAATGTGAGGGGTGTACTCACTTCTGGGACTATGTACAGTGGGGCAAAAAAGTATTTAGTCAGGAACCAATTGTGCAAGTTCTCCCATTTAAAAAGATGAGAGAGGCCTGTAATTGGCATCATAGGTAAACCTCAACTATGGACTCTCAACTCTAGAGCAGTGATGTTTTGGGGCTGTCACTGGGCAACACAGACTTTCAACTCCCTCCAAAGGTTTTCTATGGGGTTGAGATCTGGAGACTGGCTAGGCCACTCCAGGACCTTGAAATGCTTCTTACGAAGCCACTCCTTCGTTGCCCAGGCGGTATGTTTGGGATTATTGTCATGTTGGAAGCCAAGTTTCATCTTTAATGCCCTTGCTGATGGAAGGAGGTTTGCACTCAAAATCTCACAATACATCGCCCCATTCATTCTGTCCTGTACATGGATCATTCGTCCTGGTCCCTTTGCGGAGAAACAGCCCCAAAGCATGATGTTGCCACCCCCATGCTTCACAGTAGGTATAGTGTTCTTTGGATGCAACTCAGCATTCTCTCTCTCCTCCAAACACGACAAGTTGTGTTTCTACCAAACAGTTCTATTTTGGTTTCATCTGACCATATGACATTCTCCCAATCCTCTTCTGGATCATCCAAATGCTCTCTAGCAAACTTCAGACGGGCCCGGACATGTACTGGCTTAAGTAGGGGGACACGTCTGGCACTGCAGGATCTGAGTCCCTGGTGGCGTAGTGTGTTACTGATGGTAGCCTTTGTTACATTGGTCCCAGCTCTCTGCAGTTTATTCACTAGGTCCCCCCGTGTGGTCCTGGGATTTTTGTTCACCGTTCTTGTGATCATTTTGACCCCACAGGGTGAGATCTTGCGTGGAGCCCCAGATCGAGGGAGATTATCAGTGGTCTTGTATGTCTTCCATTTTCTAATTATTGCTCCCACAGTTGATTTGTTCACAGCAAGCCTCTTGCCTATTGCAGATTCAGTCTTCCCAGCCTGGTGCAGGTCTACAATTTTGTTTCTGGTGTCCTTTGACAGCTCCTTGGTCTTCACCATAGTGGGGTTTGGAGTGTGACTGTTTGAGGTTGTGGACATGTGTCTTTTATACTGATAACAAGTTCAAACAGGTGCCATTGATACAGGTAATGAGTGCAGGACAGAGGAACCTCTTAAAGAAGAAAGTACAGGTCTGTGAGAGACAGAAATCTTGCTTGTTTGTAGGTGACCAAATACTTATTTTCCACCATAATTTGCAAATAAATTCTTTCCAAATCAGCCAATGTGATTGCTGGATTTTTTTTTTCTCATTTTGTCTCTCATAGTTGAGGTCTACCTATGATGCCAATTACAGGCCTCTCTCATCTTTTTAAGTGGGAGAACTTGCACAAATTGGTGGCTGACTAAATACTTTTTTGCCCCACTGTATGAATGTATGTACGTATATACACACAGCTACAGCACCCACACAGAGGGTCAAAACATGGTCTTGGGTGAGCATTCACATCAAGAGCCCCTACTCCCTAATTAAATGGCGCCCTGCAAAAAGAACAGCAAAAACAGTTCAACTCTTAAAAAAAAAAACAAAAAAAAAAAAAACAAAAAGGGGCAGGGGACAAAGGAAGGAGGAGGAGTTAATACATCCCAAGCATAACTATAATATTATTATACAGTATTTATATAGCGCTAGGTTTTCTCAGCGCTGTACATTATAGTGGGGGACAGAACATGAGCAATACAGTAACAAAACATGAGGGGTTCAAGGGCCCTGCTCTTTCGAACTTACAACCTAGGAGGGAGGGGATAGTGGTAGAGGAGGAAGTGGCTGTGGGGGATGCAGTTGTAGGAGGAGATCGGCTGTTAAGTGAGGGCGGGGTAGGCTTCCCGGAAGAGATAGGTTTTCAGGGTGCGCCTAAAGGTGAGGAGGGCAGGCGACAGTCTGATGGATTGGGGTAGTGAGTTCCAGAGGATGGGGGAAGTCCCGGAGAAGTCCCGCAGCTGGCGTGGGAGGTGGAGACCAGGGAGCCAGAAAGCAGGTGGTCTTGTGAGGAGCGAAGATTACAGGTAGAGTGGTACTTTGGTATCAGATCGGTGAGGTAGTCTGGGGCAGCATCACGAATGGCTTTGTATGTCCGTGTTAGTAGTTTGAATTTAATGCGTTGGGCAATCGGGATCCAGTGGAGGGAATGACAGAGGGGGGTGGCAGAAGCGTAGTGGTTGGTAAGGTGGACGAGTCTGGCCGCTGAGTTCAGGACAGATCGAAGCGGGGACAATCTGCGATGAGGCAGGCCGGCGCGAGAAGGTATCCGCAACAGTCCAGATTCGAGACAACAAGAGAGTGAACGAGCTGTCTAGCAGTGTCTGGGGTCAGGAACAAACGTATTTTGGAGATGCTGCGGAGGCGGAGCCCGCCAACGATTGGACACAGGGTTGGAAGGACAGGTCCGATAACTAGCAGTAGGTCACTCGCTGACTCAAGAGACAAGCAGCAGGTATATTCGTGTTATCCATATGCAATATATTCCATGGATATGGTCCAAGAGGTAATCTAGATATAACCATATGTATGAAAGTCAGTATGGAATTATCCACGTTCTAAAGAATCATAATATCCGGTAAAACATTCCCAAACCCCTACCTGATAATCCCAGCCAAAGCAAAGGTGTGAGAAGAATGCGAAACCAGACACTTATTGTATAGTACCAATATGCTCCTTTCAATAATCAAATGTCTCATATGTATCAGTACACAAAAACTTCTAAGTGTGGCTCCTGCAAATCACACAACAAATAGCCATGCATAGTGATCCCCCAATAACTACTCCATCCATTAAACCAAGTCAAACATCATATCTCATACCTCTAAGTCACTATATTGCGTAAACCGTCCACTGTGTGCCTCAATAGCACCAAAAGCAGCGGTGCATTATGGACGACATCTGGGAGGCTGGGCTGTTTGAGCCCAGGGTCTCCTGCGGTGGTGGAGCCGAGGGGGTGGTTGCCAGGCATTGACTCCATTTAGCTGCTGCTTAGGTGTACACACATAAATTAACTATATATATATATATATATATATATATATATATATATATATATATCTATATCTATCTCTCTCTCTCTATCTCTCTCTCTCTCTCTATATATATATATCTCTCTCTATCACACACACAAAACACATCGACCGCTTGAGGACATTGATGCCATAGAACATGGTGCTGTTTTTTTTTTTTTTTTTTGGAGCTTATTAGCCAAGTACAGTTTTTATATAATGTGTCTGGAAGATGCATTTCAATGCATTTTTACTGGTACATAAAGCGGACAACCTCATGTAGTACATTAAAGTCCCATCAGGTTTTGTTTTTCTTTGTATTGAATTTGACTAGGAATCAAACTCTTGGTCCCTGAGTGGAAGAGGAAGAAGCATAAGTAACCAATTAGTTCATATGCTGACAAGGAGCACACTGATTAGAAGTAAAAAGGAAAGTAACAGAGCAACATCTTCTTTCCTGTCCAGTCACAGGTTGAGGGTAGGTTTTTGTGGCAACATTGGCTCAGAGCTAGAGGGTTAAATTATGCTGGCTGTTTTTCAACCCAAAAGACTGAAGACATCTAGTGGAGGAAAAGAAGTATGGTAGTAGGAGAGGACTCAGGATTATAGAAAAGTATTGCAAAAAAAGGTACAATTCTAAATGTATCTTTTAAATTGAACATTCTGTTGCTTAATTTTGACTGGAGTTCTGATTGAAATGTGTTTGATTTTACTTTCTTTACATAGACACAAATTTGCAGATGTACAGAACATTAAAAGGTTTTATTTTTGTTGTGATTATCACAAGTCTAACTCCATAATTATGTGCAAAAATCCGCAAAGTGTGGAAAAGGTAAAGCACCAAGCATTCTTACTACAGATGGTTGTCACAACTTATCTTCTGGAGTAAACCAGTACTAATAAGACTTGGGATCAAAAGTGTTCCAAGTACAGGTCTGTTCACTGCAGAATCCTTGACAAAGCTTTGCACCCACATAAGACTGCATGCAGTCATTTGCTTAGGAGTCGTCACAAAGGAGGCAGTTCTTAGCTCCATGTTCAAGTGAATGCCACTTAATGTACATAGCTCAAGGTCCAAATAATCCTTAGTCTGTTGGGTCTTGACACTCTTGACAATCTCTCATATCTTCTGAATAATTTTCTATTTGGATTGTAGTCGTGTGGAAGTGGAATTTACTCTGAAGGCGAGAACTGGCTTCTTTCAGTACCATCTGAGAGTCTGCATCTTCATCTGCAATATAAAAGGAAAAAAAAAAAAAAAAAAAAAGGAAAGCAATGAAGCATCAAGTATAGAGATAAGTTATCCTAAACCAATAGCACACTAAAAAAAAAAAAAAAACAAAAAAAAAAAAAAATAATAAAAAAAAAAAATAATAAAAAAAAAAAAAAAAAAAAAAAAAAAAAAAAAAAAAAAAAAAAAAAAAAAAAAAAGGGAACTAAATGGACAGGCTGAGTCACAATATAATTTTATACATTTTTCCAAATCCACAAACAGAATGCAGTATACAAAACTGAAAAAGAGAAATTAATAGGGCCAGTAGCACCGGGCTGCCTGCAGCACTTTTTCTCCTTTAAATATGTTACAGCACAAGGAGAAGCACTTTCCAAATTAATCATCCGAAATGTCCACTGCATTGCCAACCATGAAACAGGAATTTTGTTTAGTGTACTAAGCCTTCACATACAGCTTACACTATTAAAACGGTTTTAATTTTTTTCTTAATTGGGCAGCACAGCAATTAAGTAGTTAGGACTTCCACACAGCAGCACTAGGTTCTATGGTTTGAATCTTAACCATGGCGCTGCCTGCATGTTTTTCCTGTGCCTGCCTGGGTTTCCACTGGATACCCTGGTTTTCTTCCCACACTCCAAAGACATGCTGGTAGGTTAATTTTCTTCTGTCTAAATTGGCCCTAGTATGTGTATGTATGAATGTGAGTTAGGAACCTCAGATTGTAAAGCTTGAGGGCATGGAATAATGTGAATGTATTAAAAAAAAAAAAAAAAAATTTAAATGCTGTATAATATTGATGGTGCTGCACAAGTTAGTACCTGTAATAAATACAATGCACTTTTTTTTCCACACATACATGCACATATACACACACATTGCAGCTATAACAGCTTCAACTCCTCTGGGAAGGCTGTCCACAAGGTGTAGGAGTGTGTCTATGGGAATGTTGCACCATTCTTCTTGAAGAACATTTGTGAGGTGAGGCACTGATGTCAGATGAGCAGACCTGGCTCGCAGTTTTCGCTCCAATTCATCCCAAAGATGTTGGGGTCAGGATTATGTGCAGGCCAGTCAAGTTCCTCCACCTCAAACTCGCTCATCCATGTCTTTTATGGACCTTGCTTTGTGCACTGGTGTGCCGTCATGTTGGTACAGGAAGGGGCCATTCCCAAACTCTTCCCACAAAGTTGGGACCATAAAATTGTCCAAAAGGTCTTGGTATACCGACGCCTTATGAGTTCCCTTCACTGGAACTAAGGGGCCAAGCCCAACCCTTGAAAACACAACCCCACAACATAATCCCCCCCTCCACCAAACTTTACACAATGTAATCAGGCAGGTACCGTTCTCCTGGCAACCACCAAACCCAAACAACCATCGGATTACCAGACAGAGAAGCGTGATTCGCCAATCCAAAGCACACATCTTCATTGCTCTAGAGTCCAGTGGCAGCATGCTTTATACCACTGCATACAACGCTTTGAATTGCACTTGGTAATGTAAGGCTTGGATGCAGCTGCTCGGCCATGGGAACCCATTCCATGAAGCGCTCTACGCACTGTTGTGCTAAGCTGAAGTACCATACAAAGTCTGTAGGTCTTTAGTCATTGACTCTGCAAACAGTTGGTGACTTCTGTGCACTTTAGCATGTGCTGACCCTGCTCTGTCATTTTACATGGCCTACCACTTCGTGGTTGAGTTGCTGTTGTTCCCAGTTGCTTCCACTTTGTTATAATACCACTAACAGTTGACTGGGGAATATTTAGTAACAAGGAAATTTCACGGATGAACTTATTGCACAAGTGGCAACCTATCACGGTACCATGCTTGAATTCACTGAGCTCCTGAGAGCGACGCATTCTTTCATAAATGTTTGTAGAAGCAGTCTGCATGCCTAGGTGCTTTATTTTATACACCTGTATCCATGGAGGTGATTGTAACATCTAAATCCAATAAATTTGGAGGGGTGTCCTAATACTTTTGGCTAATATATGTCACATTTTAGTTTTATTGGCCATCAGTTTCAGTGTTCATTTTTCGTCCTAGTAGTTCATGTTATTACCAGTGGCATAGTCGCTCTCATACAATCCTTTTCTTAGAGAGTGGAGTTTCTCCGACCAAAAGGTCTGCTTTTTCAGGACATTACTGGGAGGTTTAAATATATTTTCAATTAAGAATATCAAAAACATCCCCAATTATATTCCATATTAAATGATCATCTGAAAGGAACTATTCATCTAAATGCAAGGAATACACAAGCAGTGTGATTGTTTTTAGGTTGTGAAGATATTGCATATACCCTGGGGAGAGATAATTATATGGTACTATATAGAATCAGCCTTCCAAAACGGGGGGGATGAACCTTAGTATACTGTTAAAGTGCATGTCAACTCCAACAATGATCTTCTATTTGCTGCATTTTGGTCCATTTATTATACAATTGGATAATTGTGTAAAGCCCATTTGATCAATTCTATTGTTAGAAATTCAGCACTGCCCTGTGTCCTCTGCACACTTCCTGTGTCATCTCCAAGAGACCTCCTATGTTGTACATCTCTGATTATAGGAATGGTTGAGCAGTTTAGCAAGACAATAGGAAGGCTTGACAACACTGTCAATGCTGCGTGTTTTAAGCCCACAACAGGGCTTACGAGCACTGTGTATTTCTGGGAGATAAAAACGCATATTTTCTTTACTTGCAGGGTCTTTAAAGAAATAAAACTGTGGGGAAATGTGCAAGTATTACAGAGATGTACTACATTTGTTTCTTGACATACACAGTAAGCGCTTAAATGAGTCAGTGACATACTGAGAAGTGCACAGTGCTTAAAGTGGGAGTAAACCCCTTGGTTGAATTTTACCTATAGGTAAGCCTATAATAAGGCTTACATATTAGGTACAGTAAATATTTCTTAAATGTGCACGTTTAGGAGAGATTTAGCCTGTGACGTCACCAACTGCCGCCAGGCACATGCCCTCTGTAGGAATGGCATACCCATACTGTTCCTTCAGAACACTGCCGTAAAGAGTGACTCCTGTGTGCGCATGCATGGAGTGAAGTCATCAAGGCTCAGCCATTCATACCACAGAAGCCCATGAACCCGGAAGGAAGGCCAGCTAAAGATGGAGGCGCCTACAGCGGTGGCTGCATTTTTTGGAAGTCTGTCATAATGTGCTAGTTTGCAGTGCTACTAGCACATTAAACTGCCTGGATCCAATTTTTTTTTCTGCTTCGGTTTACTACTGCTTTAAATCTAATAGAACACAGCACAAATGTAGTATGAAATGTACAGTTTGCATGAGACTAATTGCAATGACTTTATTGAATATTTTGAAATTGTTACAATTTGTGGCACTTTGCTTTTTGCACCATTTATCAAATAAACCGGTCAGTCTACAAAAATATGGACCAAGAATCACATATAGTGCTAGATTGCCTGGTAACTTACTTATTGCTATGTGAACGGAAAGGACAGGCTGAGATACTGTAAGAGCCCAAATATGGAGGCTGTGAAGAGCCTTCACTCCACTTATAGAAAGCAGGGTATCCTTTACCATGTTGAAGTCCACACCTTTGGGAGTGCCTGTACGAAAAAGGGCAGAAGAAAAAAAAAATGACTAATCCTTCCTTATGGGATCCAACATATACTGGATCATATTCTTGTTTCTGTTGGGATACACTTAGCATCACTTACCCTCCATTAGTACAAGCAGGACATCTCTGAGAATGGTCAAGGTTGTTGCCAAAACAAGGATCGAGAACAGAAATGTGCAGATAGGGTCAATAATCTTATACTCTGGCTGGGAAAAAAAAAAAAAAACACAACTATTACCAAATCAGCATGAGTTATCCTGATGGTGCATTCTCTATATCATCTAACAATCTAGAATAGAAGAGTCCCACATCTAAATACCACAAGTCATGGTTTTGGTTACTTTTTTTTTTTTATTGCTGTAAGCTTCATTCATAATATAAAGGGGTGAACAGTATTATGGAACTGAAGAGGAAAACCAAGCCTACACATGTGGCCTGTATCTTTCACTATAGGACTGTAATGACACTATATTGAAGTTACTAATGTCTGCACAATACCTACTAATTTTTTATTTTATCATCAACGCTTCACATCATGCTTTTAGTAGTTAAAATTTTTCACAACCAGTCACTGATTTTACCTCTAACATATTCAACTAGTTGTGAAACACATGGAATATAGGAACTGTCCATCAATGGAATTGCTAGCCATCAGTTCAGATCAGACAGGTCAAACAAGATTTATCCTTGCTTTTAAAGCTACTCAATTCATGTACAGTAGGTGGCATAGGAGGTCATGGGGGGGGGGGGGGGGGGGGGGGGGGGGGGTGGGGGGGGGGGGGGGGGGGGGGGGGAAAAAAAAAAAAAAAAAAAAAAAAAAAAAAAAAAAAAAAAAAAAAAAAGAAAAGTGTATGTAAACTCCAAGAGATTTTCCATAATTTCCTGTCTCACACAGAAAGGCCATGGAAAAAATTCCCAGTAAGAACACAACAGTAGTGAAATCTGACAAACTTCAACCCCTCTCCACATTCAAAATTAAATCAAGTTTTTGGCTGGAGCTTTAGTCTATTAAATATCAGAGTTTACATTCAAAATGACATGAATGTACCAAGATTTAAAAAAGCTAGCAGTAGGTTACCTTGAAATAAATTACATAGGCAGCAACAAGGACACCAAGACTTTGTAGTAAATCTCCTACGACATGAATAAAGGCAGCTCGGACACTAGGGTTATTTAGCTCTCCATGGCTGTGTTCATGAGAATCTGAATTTCCATGACTGTGTCCATGTCCAGTTTGATGCAATGTCAACCCCATTCTGCAAAAACAGAAACACATACATTTTAACTTAAGCTAGATACGTTAAGCCAGCCATAGATTGTTCAAATGGTCCCTGCTGAACTAGTCGAGAATTGAGCTGTCTATGGGCAGGTGGAGTGTACCCAAGTGGATCCACTGACCGACTTGGGTACAACCAGCATGTCGAATTTTCGGTTTGCAATTATTACCAGGGGCTTTAGGTGCTAGCAATAATCATTGTGTTCTCCCAGAAGGAATGGCTCCCCACACCCTCCCACTGGGAGAACACAATTGCATCAACCCCCCCACCCAACACTGACTGTGTTGATGGGGAATATCACCATCTATGGCCTAAGGAATTCAGAGATTTGGAAAAGGCAAGAGCAATAGAAGGCATTCATATTGAATATAATTTTTCTAAAACCAGGAATTTAATGTAATTTTAAAAATTTTCCCATGTGCCGCTGTAGATCAACATCCTGGAACAAGTAGTAGCTCTATATATTTATCTTTACACAATCTCACTTCATCTACATAGAACTAACAGGCATTGCATTTCCCCAGTATTTTTTACAAAGTGCAGACTCCCACATTTGTTACTTCTAGCCTCCAGCCTAGAGAAGCTGCTGGTATATTCAGTGCTAGATCATCCACACGACAACCTAGGGAGTAGCCTAAAGCCAAAAGGATGTCCAGGGGGACCCACTTAGAACGTTTATGGGAGGAAGGATCGTGCAGTAGTGCAGTTTAGTCAAAGCATTTTCCCTGCTTGTCATCTCTAAAAGGAAGAATGTCCGATTGAGTGGACAATGCTAATAGGGCTTTGTGCCTATTGCATTCCTTATCAACGTTGATCAAAAAAAACACAACACACAACAACACACACACCACACACACACACACACACACACACACACACACACACACACACACACACACACACACACACACACACACACACACACACACACACACACACACTGCACACCTGCACACCCTGCTCTAGGATTACATTCCAAATGAATCAATACCAGGGTATGGCCTTGTTCACATGGGCTGTACTATAGCATACCCCCATGCAAGGTCAGGTTCACAGGTGTTCCATGCATCCCCATGTAGGCAGTCCCATGGGAAACAGTGGCTGCACAGACAGCTGCTACTCCCAATATGATCTCCGTCTGAGGGCAACTGTGCATCCCCGTGCAGGTAAACATAACACTGCACAGGCGCACACTATAGTACAAACGCCATGTGAACAAGGCCTTTAACACACTGGCCTTCTTTCACGTGCTGCAGGGGAGGCGATGCAGTCAATGATCAAAATAGGCTCTAACTAATGTGAAACACTTGTTCAGTTTTTTTGGGGGCCACATGCTTTGTTGTCACACGCTCAATATTCAGATATGCAGGCTCAAAATTGGAGAGCTGCATTTCTTCTGTGATTGGTAGCAGCAGCTACTATAGACTTTGGAGAAGACAATGGTCAAGATCACAACAATGTCCTGTTTAAAGTACCAGTTTACAAGCTTGTTTAGCGCCATTATGAATATAGAACCAAAAATATGTAGGAAATTTATAAAAGAATCAATCATTTTTGGGGTTCAACCTTTAGTGTCCATTTGGTTACACAAAAAAGTTGAAACGGCTATTGGTTTACATACATGAGATTAACAGCGACTGCACATCCAGAGGTGATTAGCATTGCTTCCCCTTCAATTTCATAGTTTCCTGAAATTATTCGTTCCACAGCTAAATACACCAAGACTCCAGTTACTACCCAGATGGAAAGGACGGATAGAAGAGCTCCTAGAATTTCTAAAAATAGAAAGGGTACAATTTAAAGAGAGCAAAGCAATCAGATGTTGAATACAGTCTGCAAAAAGAGGAAAAAAACTGCAATCTTAGCATCCCCACTGTCAACTTCACTTTATTAATAAATATAGTTGTTCAGTACTCAACTGTCTACATATGACCCAAGTTACACGTGATTAGAGCCCAGCTGTGGCAAGATTCACAGGTGGTTGTAGACAGTTGTGACTGTCTGTAACCGCAGGTAATCGTGACATGTGCAATTATATTTGAACAGTCGGAGGATAGCAAAAGCTGCTGTCAGCCCACCATTGCTTTACACAGGTTTAGTGCTGCAATCACCATTGAATTCAGAAGCAGAAATATGCTGGATTCTTGCCGCAGCTGGAACAGCATGTGTTAATAAGGCCTAACTGTGCCACTGGTCAATGCACAGTAACATCACTATCTTACAATTTCCTAAGGGAAAGTACCATCATACCTGCTCGATGCCAGCCAAAATTCATTGTTTTTTGGTGGCTGGACGGGAAGACATCCAAAGAGCAAATAAACTTATCATCATGCTTGCAAAATCTGTCAGAAGGTGAGCAGCATCCGTCATGATCGCCAAACTGTGTGCAATGTAGCCACCTGTGAAATAGAATTTAAAGAAGTTTAATAAAAGGAGTGTCAAAGATTACGTGTTCTTTTTTTATTCACATAACCAGATTAACAAAGAAGGCAAATATTATAAATGAGCCCATATATTTAACAGTAGGCAAAAGTTACAAGCAAGCAGGCTGTTCATCCCTTTTTAACCCCCACACCCCCTTACCCTCACCCCTACTGCAAGAGCCTCCAGAAAATTCTGTGCAAGTTTAGCTTTCTCTGAAACTTAAGCAGGCCAGTCTTCCCACGTTCTACTTTGACCAGAGCAGCATATGCACTTTTTTTATAAACAAGACCTAAAATATTTTATTACCTCCCCCTTCTACAAAACATGATTGTTTTTATTGAGGTTATAAAAGCAATACACAAACCGCAGAAAACAAGACATGGTTAAAGGATAAGTTCACCTTTGGGAACATGTTACATATTCCACCCTAAAAACTGATGGAACATGTAACATGTTTCCCACTGCCGCCCAATCATCCCCCCTCCCTGTGACAGCAGTATGGGGAGAAATTCCCTGTACTAGCTGTCAACAGAGCAGCTGTGTGGGGCTCCGCCCCACACAGCCCTGCCTTTTCATTTAGTTTTGTGAAGGAATGAACCACAAGTCCCGACAGCCTTTGCTGCTGTTGGCTTGTAGTTCTCAATGAACTACCATGGCGCTTTTGAGTGCACTAGGTAGTTTACCGAGTCTTCCTGCCCAGACCACATCTCCCTTGCCCGTATGGGCACACAGATACACTAACAGGTATTGCAGGAGTCCTGCATGGCACAGAGATCAGCTGATCGCTGGTGCACTGCTTTTCCAGTAAATTACCACATTTTTTTACTGGGGGGGGGGGGGGGGGGAAATAAAAAAAAAAAAAAAAAGTGAACTTATCCTTTAAGTGCAATACACAACCAAGAGGTCATTATCAAAAGTAACAAGTCCAACAAGACAAAGCAACATCAGCACACCAGTGTATTAGAAGTCTCACGGAGTCATACAAGAGCGGAAAACACAAAATTCTATAGTCCCCAGCCAACAGAGGGGAGCAGTTGGGTGGGGCATATAGGAAGATATACACATGCTGTTCCAGCTGCGGCAAGAATCCAGCATATTTATGCCAAATGAAGGGGGGCAGACGCAAGCACAATACTCCAACTGACAAACCCACCAATTCCGATATCAGAGAGAGGCCCCTACCACACAAACCCTACTTTGACATCCAGGGCAGCCAAACCTTCTCGTACTTCCATGGGTGTAATGCAAGGCTGGACAAAAAACCAAGAGCAAGTCACACACACTGCACAGGTACGATCAAAACCAGCACTCACACCATAGTTTTCTAAGCTTGTGAGGGACACACTACCAAGTGTAAACCTGCCCTGGCACATCATGCAGCATTCTCTCAGCACCCCAAGAAAATAAACAGACTCCAACTGCAGTGTTCTTGCACTGTCAAAACCTCCACTTTTATTATCACACAACACCCAGGAGGATAATTTGTTATGGTCATCACAATCTGCATAATAACACATCACAATAGTAATGAGAAGTATTACAGCAAGAAATAAAACAGATTTTTGACAGCGTCACAGCATAGAATTTAATGCATTACCAAAGCTACAGGAAGAACGAAGGAAGAGACCTCATTGAGTACACAGTGCACAGGAGATCGAGGAGAAGCCTGGAGCATGACCGACGAGTCCATGCAGCTTCGCAAAAATCCCAGCGTCAGAGCGTCTGTCCCCCATGTGGAATGGCTTCTAATCCCATAGTCTCCAGGCTTCTCCTAAATGCCCTCATTCAATGCCTCTGGCCACAATCTCAGATTGGGGGCGACACCTCTTCCGCTCAGATGGGGGCTAGATAAAGTAACAGACTTTTCTAAAAACGGAGGGGATTCCAGTCAGGCAAAAAGTATCCCTGCAGAGAGCTCCGCTATTTCTTTGACAGTTCTTTGACATTTATAACGGCTGCAACAATGTATCTAATTGTAGCTGAAATAAAAACATCTGTATCTGAAATGGATACAAATAGATACAATGTTGCAGCCGCTATAAATGTCAAAGAACTGTCAAAGAAATAGCAGAGCTCTCTGCAGAGACACTTTTTGCCGGCTGTAGATGGGATGAAAATTGTGCCGATTTTTTTTTTACCGTTCCTGGTAACGTCAGCCGATTGAACGACCGATTTTTGTTTTTTTTTTTCGTTTTTTTAAAGAAAAAGAAAAAAAAAAAAAAAAAAAAGACCGGTTTTTCCTCCCCATCTATGGCCTGCATAAGGGTTCTTTGTAGGGAAGATCATCATCTGAACCAAAAGAAGCTGAGGGCTAATAGACTGGAGGTGAATCAAGGCATTACAAATTAAACAAAAGTAAAAGCTTACCAATGTTGTGCATTATATTTAATATGCTACGGTTTTAATATAAAAAGATTTATAGCCGCCCCCCCCCCCCCCCCCCCCCACCTTTCATGTCCAACTGCCCTGTATTATTCTACTGTAAAATGCCCTGTATATTCTACTTCTGGGTAGATTAAAATGTACGATATAAGAAATATATTCTACAGTATTCAAGTTCTGTCTGAAAATCTGCAAAACAGCGCACTAGGTTTTTTTTTCTTTACTCCCCCCCCCCCCCCCCCCCTTTTCCATATTAGCTTGTTATTTATATTTACCAGTTAACATTGATATTCAAGAATTATATTTTTTCAAACTTTACATATTTAAAAGTGCGCACAAACACATACACACTCTCCCTCCCCCCTCTCCCTCCCCCCCCCCCCCCCCCCCCATTTTTTCTTCTCCCTTTCGGTTTTTAGCTGATTAATCGAAACAATAAAAAGATCAGCCAACTAATTAATCATGAAAATTAGTCAGTTGTGAATCTGGTCTCAACTCTTCACAGTTGAGACCTGGATCTAAAAATGGATGGATCTATTTTTATATTCTGGTTCTATTTTAGATTTTGGTCTCAACTGTTAGATCTATTTCTAGATCCCAGTCTCAAATTTTTTTTTGCCCTAAATCCTGGTCTCAACTAGGGCTGAAAAACAACTAATCAACATTATAGTCGAAAATAAAAACAGTTGTCAACAATTTTCATTGTCAATTAGGTGGTCAGCCAATTAGTTGTCCTTCATACAGAATGCATTATTTACTGTATGAACAGTGTACTGAGCTGTATGTCTGATGCACTGTGTATACATGTCAGTAGCGCTTGCTTTCTCTCCCTCCTCACAGGACCTAGATGCAGCAGTACTCAGATGCTATCAATCACAGCCAGTGAGGAGGTATCAGGGGGCAGGGCCAAGCGCACAGAGCAGATAAGGATCAAGCTATGTGACCACTCTGAAGGCAGGAGGAGCCAAAATGTATATCCCCGCCCCCACACCCTGTATGTAGTTTCAGGTCTGACCCTCAGTCAAAATACCCTGTATGTCCTATAAAAGATAAAAACACAAACACACACTTGCCAAAACTATTGGAACCCCTGCCTTTACACGCACATGAACTTTAACAGCATCCAAGTCTTAGTCCGTAGGTTTCAATATTGAGTTGGCCCACCCTTTGCAGCTATAACAGCTTCAACTCTTCTGGGAAGGCTGTCCACAAGGTTTAGGAGTGTGTCTATGGGAATGTTTGACCATTCTTCCAGAAGCACGTTTGAGGTCAGGCATTGATGTTGGATGAGAAGACCTGAAACGCAGTCTCCGCTCTAATTCATCCCAAAAAGGTGTTGAGATCAGGACTCTGTGCAGGCCAATCAAGTTCTTCCACCCCAAACTTGCTCATCCATGTTTTATAGACCTCTCTTTGTGCACTGGTGCGCAGTCATGTTGGAACAGGAGGGGGCCCATCTCCAAACTGTCCCCACAAAGTTGGGAGCATGAAATTGTCTTGTATGCTGATGTCTTAAGAGTTCCCTTCACTGGATCTAAAAGGGGCTAAGCCCAACCCCTGAAAAACAACCCCACACCATAATCCTCCCTCCAACAAACTTTACACTTGGCACAATGCACTCAGGCTAAAACTGTTCTCCTGGTAACCGTCAAACCCAGACACATCCATCGGATTGCCAGACAGAGAAGAGCGATTTGTCACTCCAGAGAACAGGTCTCCACTCCTTTAGAGTCCAGTGGCGGCGTGCTTCATGCCATTGCATCCAACACTTTGCGATGCAAGGCTTGGATGTAGCTGCTCAGCCATGGAAACCCATTCTACTCACTGTTGTGCTAATCTGAAGGCCACATGAAGTTTGGAGGTCTTTAACTACTGACTCTGCAGACAGTTGGCGACTTCTGTGCACTGAGCTTCAGCATGGACTGACCCCGCTCTGTCATTTTACATGGCCTATCACTTTGTGGCCGAGTTGCTGTTCCCAGTTGCTTCCACTTTGTTATAATACCATGAACAGTTGACTGGAATATTTAGTAGAAGGGAAATTGAGAGTGACCCATTCTTTCACAAATATTTGTAGAAGCAGTCTGCATGTCTAGATGCTTGATTTTATACACTTGTGGCCATGACTGTGATTGGAACACCTGAATCCAATAATTTGAGGGATGTCCCAATGCTTCTGGCTATATACTGTATACATGGTGGATATAAAAATTCTACATGCTCCTGTTAAAATGTCACGTTTCTTTGATGTAAAAAAGTGTAGGGGAGGGGAACTAAAACTAATGCGGTTGCAGAAGTGTGCACACCCTCTTATAACTGGGGATGTAGCAGTGTTAAGGAATAAGCAATCGCATTCAAAATCATTTATATTATTGTGAATCCTCCTGCGCTTCTATGGAAAACCCCCCTCCTAATTGATATGCTGCTAACACTCAAACCGATACCCAAAACAGTGTCCAAATATAAATAAATTAGTGTAGCGCTAAACATTCAAATAAGACTGGACCACTATAATAAATAATACATAATAAATAAATACTGTGATAAGTGCTGTGATCCTCTCAGTGCTCTTAGACCACTAAATACCCTCGTA